TCGTTTCCAAAGAAAAAAGTTACACGTGTTTTTATCCAGGAGACGTGGTCCGGTTAGAAGCTTGGGTCTCTTCCAAATTAAATCGAATCACTCCGAAATTTTGCTATTTTATTGAAGAAGGTTGAATCAATATTGCTACCCTCGCAAATCAATCTGTCTTCATTGGCTGCCTGTAGAGAAAGTTTCTGATGAGCCACGCAGCTAGGTGGCGAAGGCTATCTTACACACAATTTATGAATTTCTTAACAAATTGAAGTGAAGTATGTTTTGTACATCATACAAAGAAGAAAATTCTCCTTTTTCTAGCATATACCCTCGCAGCCGACGGCAACTACAACAGTACGGTTCCAATCTAAGAAAATACCTAAATGTCAAGATCATTTTTAGCACAATTCTCCTGTAAAAACAGCTTAATGCACATTTACCTTGATGATTATATTGTATGCAAATAGTTTTAATATGATTACCATCGTCCTTCACAATCTTCTGTCCCTTCATTCATTGGAGAAGGGGGGTCAGCCTGCTCCCTGTCCCAAGGTGAAGGGAGGATGAGCCAAATTTTCACCCTATCGCATGTATGGCGCCAACTTTTCGATTTGTGGATTTGGAGAGGCATTTTGTTGCTTTCTTTAGGAACTTAATAGTTTTGCTCGTGATTTTGCATTGTTACAGAAGCGAAACAAAGTCCATGAGTTTTTTTTTCCTTTATCTGATCGTATACTTACAAAAGGCGCTATCGTGCAATATATGGGTAATATGACTATTGGTACGTAATTCATTAGACCATTTCTGGAATGTTGTGATTTTAAACCTTCACCATACTCCTATATCTCCAATAGTGCGCTACTTCGCGGAATGGATACCATAGCCGCCGGTATTTAATAATTTCTGGGCAAAGCTGAAGCAGAGTTCAAATTTGCAACTTTAGGTTCAGAGAAAATGAAATAGCACTTCTCACTTTTCCACATCATTTTAATCTTTGAATGAATTCCCTACAACACAAATGTTAAATAAGGCTTTCCTCTTTTCCCTTCCATCCACAAGCTTTTTGCTGACCTGGAAACGCGCCAAAAAGTCAAGGTCGTTAGCTTTGTTCATTCATAAAGTTCGTTGTTCTATTGCTTATCAGATTCTAACTGATGAAAATATCTTTTTTAAAGAAGTGTATAGTCACACTGTCAAATTTAGAGAAAGCGGAAATGGAATTACACCAGAAAACGCCTTTATATCTTATTTTTTGCCTTTGGAAAAAGTTTTGTCGGGAAAATTTACGCGATACACCGTTGATATACATCCACAAAAATCGTTTTGACAGCCTAACATATCATATTCAATGTTCGGTTGTTCGATCATATTTTAATGTTCGAATTTAAGTTATAACATGGAGAGGAAGTTCATGCTCACAATCAGTACCATGCCACTCATAGCCAAAAGTGCCATCTCGTTACTCATTTCACAGATTCAGTACACTTTGCAGGTCATCCTCTGCTGCAGCCTTTGGCTGAACACGAAAAACTTGTCGCCGAACAAAGTCCAGTTTTCACTAACGGAAATGATGCTGCTAAATACGCAACAATCGACTTAAAGTCAGACTCTAAAGGTCAGTTTTTTTCCCATTGTGCAAGATCGCTTTTGGGACATTCAACGAGTTTATTTGAGTTTATCAAGGAGTGTGCACCTCGGGCTTTTGAGTGCTAGCTATGATTTTTGGAATTTAGGTTTTGGTTTCAACATAGTCGGTGGGAAGGATAGTCCGCATATACCCGGACACAACGGGATTTTCGTTTCAATCATCAAACAAGGTGGACCCGCTTACAATGATGGTAGACTCTCTGTCGGTGATCTTATATTGTCTGTGAGTGCCATGTTTTTATTTTATTGTACTTTCCCATAAGTGTTATTTTAAATGATGAAATCAACAGGTTTTTGAAAACCTGTTTTGGTGATACATATATTCAAAACTTATCATAACTTCACAATCCATTGGATGACAACGTGTCTTTTGCGCGGAAACTCGCGTGGGTTTGCTTGTGATTCAAAACAAAATTTCTATGGCTTGTCCCCAAGGCTTGCTTGTGTATTTTCTTTCGTTTTCGCTTGCAAAGGTGTTTTAAAAAAAGAT